TTTTTTTTAACAACTTTTGCCGTACCAGGGTTTAGGATTACATAATATGAACACTCACCAACATCAAAATAAACGGTTAGACGTCAACCAATCAGATGTTATGCATTTTCCGGTTCAATTGTCCGTCATCAACACTTCGGTGCACTGATTTTGCGGTCAACATGTCGTGGTCGGCAGGTGCGTGCGCATTCCAGACATTGGGGTGTAATTGTGTATCGAAGTATGACGCACCTGTCGACTAAGACATGTTCATGTGCTGCATAGCGTTTGAGTAAATAGCTCATAATGTTGTGTGTGTCATGTAGCTTTGCAATGGCACCCCGCCACACGTACGAAGATCTTACTTCATCATTAAAGCAAGTACAGGAAAGACAACCACCAGCACGCCTGAGCGAAAAGACTGCGGTCAGGAAAGAGAAGGGGAAATTTCAGAGAGGGCCACACGAAAAAAGTAAGACATCACGTTAGATGAAGTCACGTGTGGACCGTGCTGCGGCCACGACGTCGCCGAAAGCAAACAGGTATGACTCCAATAAACGACAACGAGAGTCGGCCCCCGCGTCCCCGGCATCCACGAAGAATCGGAAGCAACAAGATCGATCTGCGCCACAGGCGCCGAAGAAAAGGTCACGTACGGAAGGGGTGGAAGGACAACCTCGACACAACGTCACAAATGCGAAGAGGAGGAGAATTATTGAGGGGAAGGAGGAAGGGCAGAAGACAATTGATCTGAGGGGATCCGAAGGTGTAGAGGCAGGCAACACCGAAAAACGACATGAGTCACGGGACGCAGCAGGTCAAACGCAAAAGTCTGACGCGAAGGTTTCGAAATTGGAAGGTGTTGACGCAGCCAACACCGAAAAAACAAAACGTTTCACGGGACATAGCAGGTCAGACCCGTATGATGAGACAGACGACGATGAGGGATACAACGAGGGCACATACGACGAACGTCAATCGTATGGAGAAGATGCGAGCAACGAAGAGGAGGACAGCGAGAAAGGGTATAACATAGAGGACAGCGATGGCGAGGACAAAGAGGAGGAGGACATATCTCGGAGCAGCAGCAGGGAAGAAAGGTGTAGCGAAGACAATACATAAAACACGTCTCGAAAAATACAAGGAGGAAGAAGTCACGGACGCAGGCAGGATAGCAATGCCAACAAACAGTTAGTTCTCAAGGAGAAGTCATGTGTTGAATGACGTAAGTACGTAATTTATGAGAAAATAGAAATATTCGAACACAAATGGCTAGTCGATATGTTGTTTTGCTCAGACTGTTGTCGTTGCATGCCTGTTGTGCAAAATGGTAGCGAACTGTATACGTTGTTCGATAAGAAAATTTTGCGAAGGCTGCAAACAAGAAAGTGCAGTTGCGGTTGTTTGTCCTGCCAAGCCAATGTACGAATGTGGTGGATATTAACTTCGAAATTTTGTTTGTTGACACGCATTATGCAGGCCGCCAGATTATACCAGGAGGGAGACGGCATGACGAGGACTCAAAAGAGGCTAGGCGTTCGGCAGGTGGCACGGGAGACGAATGCCACTTATTCGGGAAAAAGCAAAAAGACAAACTGCTGAGGTCTGTTGCAAAAGCTTTTGTGCACTCAACAGCGAGGGACGCAACATTCTACCCGTCGGAGGACGACTTCTTCAATGCGTTGCAGTTGGATGCTACCCTTTTAGGAGAAGATGTGAGGGCAGGTTGGGGGAAGTATGTAGAGGAGAAGGGTTTGCGAACTGTGCTCATAGAGTGCAACCGAATGATGACAACGATCCGTGGAGAGTTGACTTGGCACTTGAGACACTGGTTTTGGGCGGAGAGAGGTGTCCCCCTCGTACATGGCGCGCAGTCGGATCACAACAACACCGTGCGAAACGAAATACGTAGCCAGATGAACAAAGACAAAACATGGAGAAGGAAGGGCGACGAGCCATGGGGAGCGGAACATTTCAAGAGAGCACTCACAAAAGTGTTCCAAATACGAAAAGACGGCGGGAAGCTCAGCGTGACGTTGCAACAATTAGCGTTCACCGAACTCGTGATCTGCACGGAAATAGAACAGACAAAGAAGTCAAGCAATGCGTCAGATAAGTTGATGCAAATAGCCACTATAAAGAATGACATAGTGAATACAGTCCGGAGTCGGGACACAAGCTCGAGCACGACACACGCGTGGCAGATGTGGCGACACGGTACTACAAAGCAGGGAACACACGGAGAGACACACGTGCGGTTGACAACAACAACAACACCGTAGAGGACTTTGAATTCGAAGTGCTAGTCCCGCAAACACAATCGCGAGCTTCATGCTGAGGGCCTTGCAAACCTATCCCGGAGTCACACTCCTGTTCTTCTGACGGATGACACAGGAGTCAAGATGTGGTGGTACTGCGTGTTTGCAACTCCTGCCAGAACAAGACATGGAGAGAGAGAGAGAGAGAGAGAGAGAGAGAGAGAGAGAGAGAGAGAGAGAGAGAGAGAGA